TTGGTTTGAGAGTGAATCGAATGCGGCGGTGGGCGGAAGGCCGTTCAAAGAGAAGAGCCTGTCGGAGTATTCTTTGATTTTCTTCCGATAGCACTGACGAGCGTGGATAATTTTCACAGTAAGTTGTAACCTAGCAACAAAGTTTCCTGGTCTGAGCGTAGAGCAAATTGCTCTGATTGAGGAATACCAGGGATAAGTGAGATGTAATTTCACTTATCCCTGGGAATACAGAACGATTGTTTAGTATTAATAGTAGACATGGTTGTGGGTTATTGTGTTATTGAAACTCCCATACCGCAATGTATAGGCGTTAAAATAAAATTTTGTTTTTAGAGAATTTTGATTTGTATTTCATTGATATTTATTTTCGATTTTGTATTTTTGTTCTCTTTTAAATGTTTTATAACTGTAAATGTTGCTTGTATTATTGTTATGGATGCACCGCCCTCGTGGCTGAGTGCCACTGATGTAAAAGTGTAATTTCCTAATAAATTATTATTATAATGGTTATTAAGACGAGTTTATGTTACTTGACCTTGGTAACAGACATGCGCAGTTGAAACCGTCCAGAGGCTTATTAGCAGAATGCATATCAGCGATTTTGTGACATGTGTTCGCACGTCGTAAACGAGGTCATTGCCTTTGAGCTCAAGTGAGAGTGAGTGAATGATACGTTGAAGCATGGTTGAAGTGATTGAAAAACAATACAAACACAATGAGAAATATTTTATTGAAAACGAATGACAACTAAACATGTAAGTTATAAAACATTCGGAGGCCTACGTCTGGCTAGGCCTAGAGTAGTGTGAAAAACAACATGCAGGGATGAGGCTTTTCTTGGTTCGCAATGTTGTGCGACGCGGTTTTGTAATTGCGTAGCAATTGTTAATTATTGTGTAGCTATTTGCGATGCGATACTGGCGAATATGTTCCCTGAATTATTAATGATTAAAAAGGTTTTACATTCACTGTAAAATTCTTTTGGCCTTACCTTTCCTTGTATCTTAACTTACGTGAAGTAGGTGTTACTCTATGTATCCCCTTATAATAATTCAGTACAGTAATAAATCTCTTGTCATGCCTTCCCTCATTAATCAATTAATTGAGTGAAGAATATTATTTAATAAATAACTAATAATGACAATTTCAATTTCATACTCGGCTTTTGCCTCTGTTCTCTGGAACACTTTTTCTTCCACATGGTTTTTTAAATGAATTTTAGTTCGCTGTTTTTTGGTGACGTCTGTTTTGTGTTTATTGCGACCCCTATGTAAATAAATCCTGTATTGGGATTTAGAGGGTTATCCCAGATACTGTACCAGCATAGATGACTAGTTTTCTCAATTTTGTTTCTTTGTTTTCTGATTTTGTGATGTTATTAAGTTGATATCAAATAAATCAAATCAAATCAAATCAAATAATTTTGTATGTTTCAAAGTATACCCTAAAATAAAAACAAAATAAGAACATTTTGAGCCAGAAATTGGCAAAAAAAAATAAGAACACCGAGTCAAAATAGGGGACAAAAATTTTGCTGGTTCTTATTAAGAGAAAAACGTGCATGGTGGTAAAATTTAAAGACCAAAATAATTTTAATGTCACTCAAAATTAGCACCTAGACAGTATATTTTGTTGATATTCTTTTTAAACATTAATAGTTTACTGTTTGATTTACTGTTAGCTTGGTTTGTTGTTTTTCTAGTCCTTTTTAAAATAAATCTTATTTGACATTTTACCAGCCTCAATTTTTCCTTATTTTTAAAGCAATTTCAGCCTCAATGTTCTTATGTGTGTGTATTTTTTAAAAAGTGTGCGTGTCAATGCTATACAGGACACAGAAGGCACTTGCTGTATTATGTGATAACTTTCCTACAAGGATACCAGAACAATGGTTGCTAGGACACAACATAAAAGAAAACAAAACACCATTCATGAACTGTCTTGGGAAAATCCAATGTTTTGTTGCAAAACTTTAAATAAAGCCACAGGTTTTTGTTTGTACACCTTTGCTTCAACTGCATCATTAAGGGGTAATCTGTTTTGTATTTGCCAAGATGGTAATATCGAAGATGAGATTCATTTTCTTTTGTTTTGCAAGTTATATACTGATTTAAGAAAAACATATCTCCCATCATATTATATTAATTTTCCAACAAATGAAAAATTTTATCAAATTATGTCATCAAAAAACAGTAATATAATTAGAAAAGTATGTGTATTTATTTATCATGCATTTAAGAGAAAGGAAAACAAAGAAACACGGGTGTATTAATGAAATTTATTTAAAGTACGGTATTGTCACAGCACGCTTATTTAATTTGTAATAATTTTGTTTTACAAGGGGCCGGAGGCCTGGATTTTGATGAATAAATTCCCTGTATGGGGAGCATGAAACGCAATCTGTTTTAAGGAATACCCCAATTTAGGGGACATTTTTTTTTGTCTGTGAAGCAAAAGAAAATAAATAAATTTTCACACTACGGCCAACCGCCAATGGGGGCACATTTTTTTAGGTATAGTAGAACCCTTTACGTACGGGACGGGCCCAGAGGCGTTCGTAAAAATCATTCGTACGTAAAATCGGGATTGTGTGAAATTCCTATGTATTTACACTACTGATATGCTAAGCTGGGCTAGGCTAGGCCTGGAGTTAAATTTTGTTGGATTGGAGCCAAGACTCCAACTTGCGCTCGAAAGAAATTCGAAATAACGATCATAATAATGTACAGTACTATACATACTTGTTAATGTGTATAACTAAACTTTATTCTCTCTTCCTCAGGAAATAATATGACTTATCTTCTAGCTTACGAAAAAACACAGCCCAGCAGGCGCCGCAACAGGGCGAGTAATGCAACAACGCTTTTCACTCGAACCATGTGCTTGTGGCGTCAAGTAAATACCCTGTACAGAATAACCCAGAAACCATGGGGTTCACAACTTTTTAAAATAGCGCAGATTTGCTGTAGACACGGTGCTTGGACTTTATTTTTGTATGCAATACGATTGTTTTACGTCTGCATTTATGAAATGAATAATAAAGTTAAAAAGAAAATGTGGGTGTCAGTGTCTTATTTTATGGGGGAAATAATGAAATGGAAGATTAATGTTAGATTTGATAAATAAAATCCATTCATAATTAGGGGGTACATTAAATTACGATATGAGGGTGGTGTATTCAGAGATGAATAAATCATGCGCCTATCGATATGCTGACAACTTATGCATTGGGCGGAGTTTTCTCACGCCTGCAGACATGAAGTATGATCGCCGTGTTGCGAACTATATGCGTTTTGCATTTAAGTAGAGATCGGTGATAGTGTACAGCAAACTGTCTAAGACCGAGTGAATAAACTCCAGCCAGCACCTAACGATTAATACTTGACATGGGTGTGTGTTTTGTTCATGAAATAGGAACTTTATTTATAACAACAATGACATGATTTTAAGTTCGTAAAATCAGGAATTCCTAAAATCAGGGTTCGTAAATGAGGGGTTCTACTGTATTTATAAATGATTATTGGTATGATTATTATTGTTGTTGATTTCAGGGACCAGGTGTAAATAAACACAATCAAAAGGATTGATAGTTGGCCTGAAAGTGTACGATTCTACTAACTGTACATACTGTAAACTTACCATACATCATCTTTTATCTTCTATCTACCAGTAAGTGTTTAGGGAAGATAGTGTGTATAAGCAAAATTATCGTTTTTATCGGCAAGGTCAAATTAAAAGGTTATCACAAATACCAGTTATGAAACAATTTAGTGATGTTTGATTGGTCCATTCTCATACAATAATACTGTATAGTACTATTCAAATATGCTTTTGTGGAGAATGGCAAATGTTTATATCATTAATAGTACGGTACATGTGTTTTTACAAAGAAATATTATCATCAATCAATGTATTGATGTATGTATTCTAAATTTATAATCAATTATGAGTTTAGGTCAAAGTCAAAATGTTTCATAACCAAAAGTTATGAAACAATTTAGCGATAACTATTTAAGGGTCCATTCTCATATTATCCAAATATGTTGTTAAAACACATACAAAGTATTTGAAGTTTAAGATAGGGCCTACTATTATAAGTGTCAAAACCAAATATATGTGAACAAATTTGTTGATGTCACACTTAATGCGAGAAATTTCATACAATTTTTTAGATAATGTGGAAGATCATTTTATGTACAATGAAATTATTGAAATACTTACAAAAATAAAATTATCTTTATTAAACTATTGTATAGTACTGTAGTAAGGTCTCAATTGCAAATAAACTTTAACATGAAAAAAAAAATTTAAAACAGGCTACAAAATGATCCTACTGTAGGTCCTCAGGGCAGTACTTGTGTCAGTGATTTCTAATTGCCATCTACAAGGGACAAATTTAGGGTTTAATTGATTAAGCCTGGCATGTTCTATTGCATGGGAGGGCATAAAAATGGGTCAGAGGGTCAAAGTTAATTTTTGTTTTAACACCGGTTGCCGCACCTAATGTAAACTTAGACGTTTCTAGTGCCCTTCCAAAAAACCATTATACACTGCTTTTATACCACTTTATGCTTAGTTTTAATATACATTTTACAGATAATCGATGTCTGACCAAAAAAACAAGGTCTTTCCAAGCCAAAGATGATTTGAGGGCCGCACAAATAGGGTTTTTAATTCACTGTCGGGCCACATCACTTTGCCCACCTGTGTTGTATTGCAAAAATTCATAGCCAGTACTTATGAACATGAATGAAGGGAATTTTTACAGATGGGACGTTCTGATAAATTATTCACAGGACCTAAAAAAAGTAGTAAAGTATAAATACTGGACTGAGATGAAGACTAATGCTAAAATGGAATACACTGTAATTAGGATTGATTATTGCTTTAAAAATAGTGCATGGCTAACCATTTTTTAAAATGTTTAATTCAAAATTTCTCATCTAATGTAAGGAGTATATATTAGCCTGCTTTATATTGACTGTGAAAAATCAACTTACCTATTGATATAGCTACTAAACATTCACATACTGCAGTGTGCTTATAAATGAGATCGTCAAACATTTCTGGTGAATTGTAAATGCTGTAAAACAAAGAAATGTAGATACTGTAAATTTCAAAAATAGCATTACAACATACCGTACTCGCGCGAATAAGCGCCTGGGCGCTTAAAATATTTTTTGCACTTTTTGAGGGCCGCTTATTCAAACGGGGCGCTTATCAAAACAGAGTGGAAATTGAGGGGGCGCTTATGGAAATAGAAGAAAATCGAGGGGTTCTTATGAGAACTTATTAAATTCCAGAGGCACAGTTTGAATGAAAAACGATTATATAAGGACCGTATCAGGACACCACCAATTACGAATGGTGGTGCGGTGGAAAAGATAATGGTCCAGAGGGCATGGCTTGTCATGACAAGAATGTTGTGAGTACAGTATTACATAACAGTAGAATGGCAGATGAAATAGAGGTGGTGGTTAGCTTGTTGGCCATCAGCCGATTGAAATTAGCAGGATGGCATGATTATTGCAGGTTTTCTTGAAACCTCAGATGAGAATGTGTGAGGTGCAAATTGTCGAAAAAGCAGTAGGACTAAAGCTATAGAAAAATGTAAGATGAAAGTTGGAAATATACTGTCTGTCCAGGGAGCTCTCATCTGTCCAAGGTAAATATCCTCACTTTGATATTGACTAAAGGAGAATGTGATTCCACTCCACACCTCAAATCATGCCAACATCCACAGATTGATTGAATTACTGAGGGGGGCGTTTATTCAAATTAGAAGGGGCGCTTATTCAAACGGGGCGCTTAAGAAAATTTTCACTTTAGGAGGGGCAGTTATTCGAGAGGGGCGCTTATTCAAACGGGGCGCTTATTCGCGCGAGTACGGTAATGTCCCATCTTGCTTACCTACTCTCATGGTGGGCATAAAAATGGGTTATAAGATATCTTTTTATATCATTTGTATACAGTTACCATTCCTTACCATGTCCTATGCACATAGTTTTGAAGCTATGCTTTTAGTTAATAGGCCAAAGAAAATAATTTTTGTGTTGGCCCAAAAAAATGGGTAGGTCGGTAGGAAAACTTTTTTTTTACAACCAAATTGTTTACTGTTTACACCTAAAAAGTAGAAAATACACAAATGTACAATTTTGGATTCGCGTCGTGTACCATTCAGCAAAATAGGATAGCCTTGGACCCCAAGCCCCGTCAAGGCTATTCCAAAATAGAAAAATATTGTTCGTTGTCAAAAAAACAAAAAAACAAAAAAAAAACAAATTGCTAACCCTTAATTTCGTAAAATTTGGGTCAGTCGGGTGTGGCCAACACAATAATTTTTCTTTTTTTGGCCTTAATGTACAGTAGTGACTAAGGACTCGAGAGCAGAGAAATTTGGTTAAAATTACTGATGTTTATATCATTGCAAATTAATTTTGCTGCAAATAAAGGTTGAAATAAAATATATTTCGCCCTCCAATTTGAGACCACTTCAGGGTGGTCTTGGGTTGGGTCTCGACTTTGTGTTAATGTCGAAATATTGAATTCCGACACAATGGCATGCATTTCGATATTTGGAGTATGTATTATACTCTTTTATACTAAAATAAAATAACCTTTTGTGTTTTTCTCTGTCTACCAAATATCTCTGAAAGTACAATTATAATTTTCACACATGTTGTAGCTACCACCAATGGGAAGAACACTATATTAGGAATCAATTATGTTATCCTACATGTTTTTTTGGCAATTAACAAATTTTCTGCTGATTACAGTACTTCCAAATCTCATAACTGTTCGGCAGAAACACTCACGCAAAAACATTATCTACAAAGAGGAAAAATAATGACAGGTAACTATAACATCCTCAATGATTGCCTCCTCAACTTCCCATAACATTTAACTATATGCCTCGCCAGCTTTTCACACTCACTTAACACCGTGTGGAGCATGGGTATATGCTATAACAAATAAATAAGAGGCCTACTCTTTGCAAAAATAATATTAAGAAATGAGCATATATACGGTAGGCCTACTATACAGTTACGGTAGTATGGTATATTGCTAGTACATTGAAGAAAATAACTGTCCATGACAGGTGAGGCGAAGTGTTAAGTGTCAAGTCATGGATGAAGAAGCCTGTTGGAGGCATTGTTGTCAATCATGGCTGAACTCAAAGCAAGTGCTTTCAATGGAATATAAGTTAATGAATCTCTTCTAGTTTACTCTGTGTTGGTCAAATGAAGCGTGAACTATACACAGCTTGCTACAAAACGTTTCCACATGGATGACTAAAACCATAGAGAAAATGCTAAAACTATGCAAGTGTGGTGGTTTTAGTCTGTGTTTCATTCTATAAATCCCAGTAAAGAATTAATAAAATAACATGTTCTTAAATAATCATCTTGTCAATGACAGTTTTAGTCACTTAATCAAAACCCAGCAGCAACTTGACTTTTAAATACCTACAAACTTTTTTTGAGGTTAAACCTGTGATAGGTTATAATTTACTTTGAAAGACGAGGTTGGCCTTGTACAGGTTGCTCTTTCTGGTTCAACCTTGGATATCATCTCCACTACTGTATCTAAGGTTGTGTTTACGAACTTTCTTCGAAACCGCATAAGTAAAAAATGACATAATGCCCAGAGGGTAGGTCATTAGATCGCTCGTTTACAAACCCGAAGTTATTCGGATACGGACAGTAAGGTATAGGCCTTTCATGTAAACAAAACAAACACTTCACCGCTTAGCCTTCCTCAGCCCAACAAGGCAATTCAACCACGAATTACCTCGCCTTGCCTACGCTGAAACTCCAACCAATTCTAAAAAAAACCCAGGCGTTAGAAACAAGAGCCTAGCCAACTGGGAAAAGTACAAAAAAAAAATTACAAAAAACAAAGGAAAAAAAATAGCCTACGGACTTACTACTACTGTATTACTACAAGTTCCACTGGTGTTCAGAGCCGACAACGACGTGTCAACAGTGTGTGGTGGACAAGAAATGGGTCGATCTATCGCCAAAAATTTTCGTTCATCATCTCAAAATACGGCCATTCTGTTGGAAGGGGGGGGGGGGTTTCCTGACTTCCCGTTGGAGTCCTTTTCCTGGGTGTATTTTTTTGCGCAGGTTCTTGCATTTGGTATTCTATCTGTGCGTGCGTAAATTTATAACCCATTTCCCGCATCTTCTGTGCGATTTCTTTATAAACGGTGTTGTTCCGTCAGGTTCCACCAAAATCATCTTGTATGGATGTCGTTCCCCATTTGCTAATTAACGTTTGGGTTGCTTCGTCAGTCCACCCACTCTGTTCAGCTGCAGCCATTGTATATAGGGGTATATCGTTGTAAAAATAAACTTTAAATATTTCGGCTTAAAAATTGGATAATATAATTTATTAAGTGAGGACTACTCTAGCGATGTCACTGGATGAAGGCATGGATGAAAAGAAATTGCGGACTCAAGTGCTTAATCTGAACAGATTTCTCAAAGTAAGGTCAGTTGACACCATGCTGTGGGCTATAGCGCCCGAGGCAGCCTCCAACCCTCCAAACTTATCCGGAAAGGATATGGCTACGGTCACACTAGCGTCTCAAGCCTGGCTTGACTCAACGCGGGTGAGATTTCAAGCCAGGCTCGAAATTCTGGGTCGGTCAAACTAGTTGAATTGACCTCCAAATTACGAAAGTCGAAACAGCAGAGCCGTAAAGAGAGAGTTTACTCTGTTTCACGGGATTCGATATAGGCGCGTGTGATTGGGTGGATCGCAATCAAAGATTTTACACCAGACGTGCCCGAACCACTCTTCTTCAACTGATCTTTTATCAGCTTGTATTGGGCTCGCAATGCCTTCACCTGTCTCTTATACACATCTAGATGTGTATAAGAGACAGATCGTTATCCAGAACGATTAAAAGGAGGAACTAAGTGTATCCCATCCTGTCCAATTGACAGAGCTGAGCATTATATTCTTTGTATACATTTTACTATGTGAAATATTGTATACTAACCTGGTAGCTCAACCATGAAGAGACCTTTAGGGAAGATGCAAATTAATGTACTAGCTAGTCCACTCAAGCACTTTAAGACTTGCGTATAAAGCGCTATTTAAATCCACCTACATTATTTACTATGTGAACTATGTAAATATACTGTGTACATACTACGTGGATATACTGATAAAATATCAACATGAAATTAAGCTAGCACCGGAACAACAATATAAAAGAAATGACAGCAGCATTTTTAAGACTAACTTGTAAAATTTAATCTCTAGCTTTCGTCCACACAGTGGACTTAATCAGGAGACTGCATGAAACAACAGTACGAAAGCTTACATATGCACTACCAGTCAGCAGGGAATATGTGGGAAGAGGCACAATCAAAAATTCTAAAAGAATCAATACTAAATCTTACACACTGATAAACTACAAAAGTATACAAATGTGGAATCCACTAAAGGTGATACACTGCTTTTACCTGTAACTATATTGACCTATAAAATGAGGAATGATTAAGTAGATATTTTATTGCTTCTTCACGTTAATGATTTTAATGAACATTTAACCGAAATTGGCATTTTAATATGTATAGATGTGTATAAGAGACAGGTATTACATAACAGTAGAATGGCAGATGAAATAGAGGTGGTAGTTAGCTTGTTGGCCATCGGCCGATTGAGACCAAAAATTTTGTTCATCATCTCAAAATACGGCCATTCTGTTGGAGGGGGGGAGGGTTTCCTGACTTCCCGTTGGAGTCCTTTTCCTGGGTGTATTTTTTTGCGCAGGTTCTTGCATTTGGTATTCTATCTGTGCGTGCGTAAAGTTATAACTCATTTCCCGCATCTTCTGTGCGATTTCTTTATAAAAAACGGCGTTGTTCGTCAGGTTCCACCAAAATCATCTTGTATGGATGTCGTTCCCCATTTGCTAATTAACGTTTGGGTTGCTTCGTCAGTCCACCCTCTCTGTTCAGCTGCAGCCATTGTATATAGGGGTATATCGTTGTAAAAATAAACTTTAAATATTTCGGCTTAAAAATTGGATAATATAATTTATTAAGTGAGGACTACTCTCGCGATGTCATTGGATGAAGGCATGGATGAAAAGAAATTGCGGACTCAAGTGCTTAATCTGAACAGATTTCTCAAAGTAAGGTCAGTTGACACCATGCTGTGGGCTATAGCGCCCGAGGCAGCCTCCAACCCTCCAAACTTATCCGGAAAGGATATGGCTACGGTCACACTAGCGTCTCAAGCCTGGCTTGACTCAACGCGGGGGAGATTTCAAGCCAGGCTCGAAATTCTGGGTCGGTCACACCTGTCTCTTATACACATCTAGATGTGTATAAGAGACAGACTTTTTGCGTTCCAATGAATCCCCAGCAGTCGGACCTCTAGCAGTTTTATACCCTTTGTTCAAAGTTGAAAGGCCTGAAGTAACCACCCACCAAACACAAAATATTCTTATAACTTTCGTGAATGTTGCAGTTAGATATGTAACAAAATAACGATCGCACAACGTTGTAAGAACGTTCAAAC